TGCCCCACTTAGACTTTTGCCGCAAGTCACTGCCCAAGCACCGGATTTCAACAACTTCGGCCACAAAAAGGTCCACAGGCTGAGATCAACGCCAAAAATAGTCAATTTATTTAGGACATCTGAGCACAAAGAGAAGGTGCTCAAAGTGCAAAAAAAAAACACAAAAAAAGTGAATAAAAACAGCAGCAAACGTTTCAGTCCTTGACGATCATCAGTGCTTCACAGAACAGATGCAGGGTGTTTTCATCCTTGGTTCCTTTGAGCCCTCTACACAGACTCCGAGAGATGACTCACTTATGTGAACGCTCCAAGAGAACTCAGACGCCTCGAGTTTGGTTCAATTCAAGTCCGCAGTGTGGTTCACTTAACCTGCGCTCCAGGTTCACTTTGCTCTTTGCCGTTGTATTCAGCCCTCTAGATCACACGCTGTTGACCTGGGACGCTTGAAAAAACAGACGAAACCACGTCGGCCTGTAACGCTAACAAGGACACAGGGCGAGGAGCAGTTTAGTCCACAGAAGATTCTGCACGTCTCCAGATGTGGACTGTAGAATACATCAAACAGCAGCAGTCTACAGCACAGACACACTCAGGTTTGCTCCAGTTTTAAGTTCATCTGAGAGTGAGCGGCTTCATAACCACACTGCAGCACCACGTCAGAGTAAAAACAAAACTATGTCAATATATATTATACATAGTGTGAACAGGAAGAGGACTGAGGCGCCATCAGAGCTGAAGTTGACCAGAGCGAGAACTGAGTCCTCTTTCAAATGAACTGATGTGAACACAATGTGAGCAGTGAAATAGCACCAACTTGAGTTTGATACAGCTTTTATTGTCACAGTGTGCACTCTGATTGGCTCTCACTCTCAGTTAACCCAGTACCTTTCCTCTCACCCCACCTCTCCACCACACCTACCTGCCAGCCTATCACCTGTCCACACACCTCCTGCTCCCGTCCGTCCACCACACCCACCTCATCAAGCCAACTCGGCTCATCTGTGCAGCTTCTCAGACTCTCGTTGCCAGACTATAAATAGATCCACAACTGGACTGAACTGTTGCCTAGCGTGCATGAACACTCCTGTACATGGACTACTTTGTGTGAGCTAGCTCTGCAGTCAGGCCTGAGTCATGGGAGGGCATTTGAGACTTTTGAAAGAGCCTCATTTCCACTGCACAAAAACCCACCTCATGCAATGATGCAATGATGCAATGATGCAATGATGCGTCGCTGCAGGAGGCTGATGCAAACTTTGTTGGCCAACGACACATCATTTGTTTTAATGTATTTCTGGTTTGTGCTCCAGTGTGAGGTGGAGTTCTTCACTCTCACCACTAGATGTCACTGTCTCCTCATTCTTCATGTAATACTGTGCCTTCATAATGCACACACACATTAACATACAACTTGGACTCAATTCAGCCAGCTGCATTTATAGTTCATGATTATCTGTTGTGTTTCTACAGTGCAATAGTGACTTAAGGTACAATTATTGTTACTGTTTGTACTGTGAAATAATTCAACTGTGCAATATTCATAACACCTCTTTAATGTGTATAGTTATTTAACATGCAGTGCACATAACTGTACCTACTTCTTTATCCTTATTCTAGTCCATATTGCATTGATGTATTTATTGTAGTAACCGTTACGGCACAATATATATTTTATATTTTTAATGAAACACTAGTTTATACAGTGTAATGTAGCACAATGCACATATCTGTATATTTTACACACTTACAGACTCAGCAGAATAAAGATGCATATTTTATTCTTAATATCTTAACTGCTAGTGTTAAACATTGACATTTCTATTTTACTGGAGTCACAATTTCGTCTCGGGGATCAATAAAGTATTTCTCATTCTCATTTAAGGAACAATGCTTGATGTCGTCAAGGATTCAACTATAGTTAGTTATAGTTGGTTGTTTTGGTGACTGGAAATCACAAATCAAAATGCCATTTCACTCCATGAAGGAGAAGTTGTTTGTTTAAGCCAGTTTTTAACTTTTTATTTCTGTTGTTTTAAGTTGGAGGGGAATTACAATGTTTAAAGTGAGTCTTTAATCCCTAAATGTTCAACATTTAGTGAAATGTTTATTGTGTTCGTCTTTATTGCTGAGTAAATGTAAATTTATTATTTCATACTAAACAGACAGGAACTCGCCGCCTGGCTCTCTGGAGCTGCAGAAAAAAAGCTCTTTCACATGATCGCGAGCGTTTATCAGTTTGTTTGTACCTCAGTGAGAATGTCAAAGAAATTGCGCAATTATTAACACACGGCAGCGTCCCCTGTAAAAAAAAAAAAAAAAAAGCTGTTGAAGAAGCATAAACACCAGCGCTGTGTGCACATCGCTGTGTAAAGGAAATCTGTGGTTTTGATGTGTCTCAGACAAAGTTACAGAATGCTCCAGTTTTTCATCTCACATTTCATGTTGGCCTACAGAACAGAAAACTCTGTCTGATGCTGGTCTGTGCACATTTCCACATGTTACCTTTTGCAGTGACCTGAGTGCTGCTGGGGTCCAGAAACATCCAGAGCTCAGAAAATAAGAAGAAAAGGGCGGAGTCCCTGCAGATACATACATGGCCACACACTCTTAGTGGGTCATAAGGGTTGATTGAGACAGATTAATGTGTGTTAGGAATATCCTGCATAGTTTAACTACGAGCCACCTATGTTTTCTTCATGGATGTAGAATACACAGCTACTGCAGTCTGAGGTTTGGTGAAGTGGAGTGGTGTAGTCAGGTGTAGGCCCGGCTCCATGAGGGCTGTTCAAGGAGCTAAGCACCCCTCAGTTGTATATTTTGCCCCCTCTCTTTAACACCATCATCATCCTCACTGTGACCTCGTCACATGTCCACGTTTGGTCATGGACTTTCCACGTCCACATATGGCGTCCAAGGTACCCTGGGTGTGTTGGTTGATGACGTTCTGGGACGCCGTGTCAACTTCAGCCTGTTACATGCATTGTCTGTTTTCAAAGTACACTTCTGTTTTCACAGGAAATGTACAGTTTGCATACAGTCTCTTTCAAAATAAAAGCACTACGTCTGTACAATACTGCAAATTGACGTTTTGTTCAGTAAACAACACACACGTGGTTATGTTCAGGACAAAAGAGCAGGGTTTGGCTTTACAGTCTGAACACCGGCCTCCCAGGTGAAAGTCAGTGGTTGCTGGACTCATCCAACACCACTGGAACTTTCAAGCTCCTTATACTATGTTGTTCCTGGCAGCATTTCCCCAGCTAGCAGCAAACAGTGCCGCCTCAATGAACAGCGTTAAACAACAGCAACAGAGCTGACAGTGTTAACCGGGCGAACCAGAGGATGGGCACGACACTTCCGTGATGACTCCTTCCTGAACTCAGAGTTAACTGCTGCAACCCGTACTTCAACGATGTAGCAATTTATTTTATTTTTATTTTATCTTTTTATTTATCTATTACTATTATTAATTTTTATTTGTTTCTCTTTTATCTTATTCTATTCTATGTCCTCTTGTTTTTTGTCTTATGCTGCTGTGATATTTGAATTTCCCCTCAGGGGGATCAATAAAGTATATCTTATCTTATCTTCTCTTATCTTAACATTAATGTAACACAGGGAGACAGGTGGGGAAATATTTGCCATTCCTTAAGAGAGGAGTCATCCTGCTGTCACCGTCTGATTTGAGCAGAACACATCCTGGTCTGTAGGAAAAAGAGGATGTATAAATGTGTGCACTGATGGACAGTGTGCAAGATGAATAAACTGGGTCTTTGTGTTGTAGACAGCAGGTGTTTTCCCAGCCAGCTGGGACAGTTGAGACATTCTCTCTCACCTGTTACAGACGGGACAGGAAGTGCTTTCTCAATCAGACACATTTATGATGTCATTTCATGTCTGTTTCTGTCTGTCATCACTCAGTGTCAGTATGCTGCTTCTTTTATTTACCTGTTTTTACTTATTTTGTTTGATGATGTCAGGATCATAACAGCTCAGCAGCGTATTAATGACTGCTGGTCAACATAGATTTTTTAAGAGATACGCAGCCAGTCTTGGTTATTGTTTGACAGCAGGGGTAAATGCAACAACAAAAGTTAAGGCAGCAGAAGTCTTTGTAGGGTGGGTGTGAGGGGTGGGGGATGGATCCAACAGCCACTGACTTTCAGGCCGGTGTTCACTTCCTGTAAGACTGTAACGCCAAACCCTGTTTTTTTAACCTGTGTTTTGTTAAGTGGTCCCATCGGTGTAATCCTGATGTAGTGCTTTTATTTTTAAAGAGACTGTATCAAACTGTACATTTCCTGTGAAAACAGAAGTGTATTTTGAAAACAGACAATGCATGTAACAGGCTGATGTTGACACGACGTCCCAGAACGTCAACAACCAACACACCCAGGGTACCTTGGACGTCTGCTCCATCTGCACCTCAGTGCTCTGTACCTGCTCCCAGTGGACAGTGGGGTGAGGTGTGATTGAGTGGGTGTGTGATGTCCTGTTCTAACCAACGCGTTGAATGCATTTCCTTCTTCATAAAACAATGGCAAAGCCACATTCCTTTGCAGAGGAATGGCATCCAGCCTTGGCTGACACATGCTGATTACCTCAGCCATCTGTTGATCAGTGGAGCAGCATGAAGAGGAGAAGCAATATGTGTTCAATCATCCACATACACGTGTGTGTGTGTGTGTGTGTGTGTGTGTGTGTGTGTGTGTGTGTGCATGCGCGCCCATAAACAGGATCCTGTTTATCAAAACTTGTGATCAAATCATCATCAGGATATCTTGAAATGAACATATTTTTGGTATGACTAAAACCTGGATTCACATCAGTTCTTTAAAAAAGGTTCCTCCTTTTGCAGATGATGTGTTTCTGTTGCTCAAAGTGTCTCTTTGTTCATCGCTGTGCCTGTTGTCCTGTGACTGCGAGGAGGAATGTACTGTAGGATGACTCAGCTGGATCTCAGCCTGATGTGTGATGATTGGTTGTTTCAGTATGATGTGATGTGTGGAGGAGAGCTATAAAAGTTACTGAGCAGGAGTCCTTCCAACAGGACCGGGAGCGTCTCGAAGAGGAAGGGTTCTCCATCAGATCTCCTGCTGCCTTACAGGTCTGTTAGACACTAACGGCAAACGGCATTGTCAGATTCATGGATTTGATTGTCTTTAAGAGATCGTTTCAAGGAGGCGCAGTGGGACTGTAGTCGTTTAGTTACAGTTCACACATTTCATCCTACTTTTACCTTTTTATATTTTTGTGGTAAAAAGTCTCAAAGACAGGAGACAGTTTCCAGGTGAAGAATTAGAAACCCCGTCTACTGAGAGATGAGTGGAGTCGAGTTAAACACTGGTTTTAAAAAATGTACAATCTTATAATAACTTGTGGTGTCGGTTAACTGTTTCTGTTCAAACTATTTTACAAGGATGATATTTTACCTTCTTTTTTTTGTCTCTGCAGTGAAGTGTTGAGGTTCAGTTTGATTTCCAGCAGTCAGAATGATGGCTCCAGCTCTGCTCTCTGCAGTCCTGCTGCTGCTGCTGCTTCCTGCAGCTTCAGCTGACAGTAAGCTGAAGGATTTATTACTGTTTTTATTGAGCACAGAGTAATGTCCTCACGCATGACCACTGAGAAGAATTCAGGTTTAGAATTGCAGTGCTAAGGCATTGTTTATCCTCCTTATTCTACTGCTGCATTTTATTATTGACCTGTGTACTGAATTTGACCTTTTGTTTTCAGGTTCAGATCCAACTAACTTCACTATCATGGTCACAAACGCTGTAACAGATTCTGCCAATCAGACCTACTCCACGTATGTGGTTTACAGAGGGATCTTACTGGGTGGAATGAGAAGACTGCAGGACTCAAACTCAGGCTTCATGTAAGATCATCACATCAGCTGTTGGCATAAATCATCAACTTAAAGCTGGGGCAGGCTGACTTTGAAAGTGTGCCCTCCTCCTGCAGTCCTCCCCTCTCTGTCCCAGCACACAACCATGAGTATACACGTGCTTCAGTAACCCAGCACTTCCCATATATTGATTTATTTATTCATATTTCATTGTACGGTTGCGCGCAGTGTATTCGCTCAGCCCCTCCTTGCCTGGCTCTCTTTTTGTTCAGACCGACATTAAACAAGAATTAGCTGCTAGCCACCAGGCGGCCTCTTCGCCTCACTCCTGTCTTCACTCAGAGGAGAGCGGGCAGCAGCTACTGAGACCAACCTCCGATTAGCGGCTGCAGGAGCTCGAATCCAGCAAGCACAAACCTCTCTGCACCAGGTGTCACAGTGGGCTGTCGGCCACTGGCAGTGCCAGGTCTAAAGCTGAGAACACACTGGTGCCACGGTGATGTGTCATGTGGCGCACATCAAGTGCCGCCCCGAGCACACACTGGACACGCTGCACTGCAGCTCATCAAGAGATCATCACGCAACGTTATTACTACTTACACTGACAGATCTGCACTTCCTCCACCTCTGCGTTAGCTTAAAATCACGTGGACAGCCACTGATTAAACTTGATTTCTCACCTGAAGAGCCGATCTCCAGAGCTGTGACTCACCAGGAAGTATCTTTTTTGTCCAGTGTCGTTATAATGTCGGGACTGTGGGTCGTTTAGCTCGGGATATTTCTCAACCTCAACAACGAGTCCCTCCTCATCCATTCTTCATTAGACGAGACGCAGCAACAGCTACAGAGTTCTCCATATACTTCCATAGTGAGTGGAGGAGTCAAACTGCTATAGGAGCAGAGAAAAAGAGCTGCTACAGGAGCTGGTCTGTACAAGCAGAGAGCGAGTGAGGGGAAAATGTATTTAATTCTGGGGGACTGGAAATAGGACAGTGGCGTCAAGTGCTGCAGAGCGACATGTCCAGGAGCACCGATGCGTGTCTAGTTGCCGCCGGTGTGGGGTTGTACACTGAAAATAATAGATAACAACATAAAGTTTGGTGATGTGGCGGGAAATCAGAGCTGTCTGTTGCCCTGGAGTTGGGGTTTGCACTAGCTGGATTTAAGTGGCTGCAGCTGTGTACACTGTGATTTGAGGCTCTTGCTAACATTAGCCTCATAAACATGAACATGAAGCTGCAGCTGTGAGCCTCGTGTTTTCTTGTGTTTGTCAGACTCTCTTTTGATGAGTCCATCTTCCTGTTTTGGGTTGCTTTGCAAGGTAAGCAGTTGTTGCCAATACTGGTGTTCAGAAGGGTAGCCCTTCATCGCCAATTTCTTTTTGCCTGTTACCTTGCGCATGGTGTTCACGTGAACGTGCATGGAGCGCACATGCACAGTTAATGGCATGATGCGCTGAACCAATCAGAGACCTCTGCTGCACTGTGTGAAGTGTCTGGCGCGAGCCGATGAAGAGAGTTTTATTCACCGCTGCAGTTTCTGGATTTTATTCGTTCATCCCAGCAGTTTGGACTCTATTTAACCTGCAGCTGTGTTTTTCTGGACTCTTGCTTCCCCTTTTGTTGATTTGCTCCGTCTTGTGCGTCCATGAGATTGTGAGTAATACGTTATCATTCTGTTACTGTTCTTTATTATATTCTGTGTGTTATTCGGCAATTAAGTTTATAGTACTGTACTGTGTCTTGTGCATTGGTTAATCATTGCCGATTTCATATTCCAATTGATGTATATGATCCCTGATAATATTGTTATGTTGAATAATGGTGTACTGCTGTGCCGTCAGGTGTTATTATTTATGTCACAGCAGTGTAGTGAGCGTGCCGATGCGTCCATTAAGGGACCGTCCCACATTTATTTGTCTCGCCCTCTGTGCACACTATGCCAGTGAAATAGATATGGGCCTTTCTGAGCTAAGCTGTTGCTTTTGTTGACAGTCCCTTAAATTTATAAACACTCAAATCTCCTCATTTATTCATCTTTTTACTGTTTATCATTACATAGCCTTATTTTTGCATTGTGTAATTTACCGCAGTCTGTTTGTTTATCATTAATATTGCATTATGATTAATATGCACATTTTTGTTTATTTCTTTATTGTAGTAACCACACAGACAATAAATCAACAGAAGAGTTTGTTCACAAATAAATGAGTGGCATCTCAATGAGAGTGTGTGTGAATTGGACATTTTTAAAATCTAACCTGTGCACTTCCATAATTGTGTTGTCATGTCTGAGTGAAGCTGCATGAAACATTAACATGAAAGTCACCTGTGTCTGAATGACAAAGAGCCATCTCCTGTTGTCCCTGCAGTTTCACCTACACTGAGAATCTAAACTACGGCCCGTTCCTGGAGAGCGTGAACGGTTTGGCTGGGAATTCAGAAGAGCGCACCTATTGGGAGCTGCTGGTCCAGAAACCAAACAGCACAGTCATCAGACCTGATGTTGGTGAGTCAACCCTTTCTGTCTTTTTACAACATGTTCTCACTCTCTGTCACATATCCATGTTTGGTCGTGAAAATGTACAGTTTACATACAGTCTCTTTCAAAATAAAAAGCACTGGTACAACACCGAGAATTGACATATTTCTTCCTTCAACAAACGCACATGGTTGGTTTTAAGAAAAAAGAACAGGGTTTGGTTTTACAATCTAACCAGAAGCGAACACCAGCCTCCCAGGTGAAAGTCAGCTGTTGTTAGACCCGTCCACCACCCTGTAAGAACTGGTGAACCAGGTGAGAGTGGACCCAAACGCACAACTCTGGAAACAGTTTGGGTAAAATAACTCAGTCTTCACTGGTCAAAAGGTGCGTTCGTTACACAGAAGGACAATCAGTGGAGGCAAACAAATCCAATAGGGATGAGGCAGAGACAATCAACAGGCTAAATCCAAAAAACCAAGCAAAGGACACAGGGAAACAAAAGGCTGGAATATTAGACACACAAGGAGCTGAGACAAACTGACATAAACAAGGCGCACACTGAATACTGTGGTGAGGGGAAGGATAACAAGACACAGGTGATGTCATCAGAAGGGAGGGAAAACACACAGGGGCAGGAAGTGAAGTGATATGAAACCAGAGAGGTGTGAGTTTCAAAATGAAACAGGAAACAGCATGAATGAATGAAATAGAAAACATAATCTAAGAAACTTGAGTTGTGACACAGCACTCCCCCCCGCCCTACTCGGACATCCGCCCACATAACTTTAGTTGCTGTCCAGCTGCGTTTTCCCTTGACGCTGCCGGGGGCCATTAAACAATAACAGCAACTGGCCATGTATCACACTGACGTGAAAGAACGGCTTTTTTTGTTGTTGTCTGACGCTGGAAGTCACTGACCAAGTGCCGAATTTTGACAACTTCAGAGTTTGCTTTTTACAGTCAACATCCACTGTTGTTCTCACTGTAAATCAATCAGAATCTCGTCTTATCTTGATTTTCTTTGCAGGTATCGGATGCTACATTCCATCTGCAAATGACAAAATCATCCTGAATTTTAACAGATACTGAAGATTCAGGAGCCACTGGAAATCACCATGCAACTAAAGCCTGATTCAACTGTATGATTATATATTTCACAGATCAGCATTCAACCAAGGTCCATCAAGCTCTTTGGTCAGAGAGTAATTACAGCTTAATAAAAGATCACTGATGTAAACAGTGTACTGTGTGAGGAAACACTATCGTAGTACTGATAGCACTGACAAGGAACGAGCTGACATTACTTTGTCTTTACTTTTGGATGATTATCTCTCACCTTGAATTTCCTGCTTGGTAACCAGATACTTCCTCATAGAGATTTCTTCTTATTACTCAAGCTGTGAGATAACACACTGCTGTTTTACACTTCAGAATACTTTGTGTGAATCTTCTGAAATAATAAACAAAAATACATTTAATCTGTGTTGAGCAAAATCATTTTTTCACTTTATGATAATGATGCAAATTATCAATAAAATTGTCCAAACTAAACGAGTTGGTCTTGCTAATCGTGCATCAGATGCTTCACCTTCAGTCACACGGCTCGTTGGAGACTGTGTTGTGTTTGACATTGTCTCTATTAACCCTGTTTAAAGTGTGTTTAATGTGTGTTTTAGGTGTGTTTTGAATCAATCAAACTTTCCAGCACTTCACAGAAACTCCACGGCCAAAAGTGTAACTGCAGAGCGACACAGACACACCACCACACAGGTACATGATGTAATAAGGGAACATCTTCAGGTTGACATGTTGTGACCAGTCATATGTCTCACTGTCAGGTGAACAATATTCTGACACATGCAGGACCTGTATGAATCAGACAGAGCAACTAGACTGCATTAACTGGGGATCATTGGACGTCAGTGAGTCATCAGATTATATCAGAGTAACGTAATCCTTTCAAACAAACACACACTGTGTCTGACAGAAAGAGCCCTCTGAAGTTGTCTCCGACCTCTCAGTCCTGGTGTCAGACCTCACTGATGTTGCACTGCAGCACTAAAAGTCATTTTATTTGCATTCATTTGATTCCTGATCCAGACACTCTGTTAAGAACTGTTTCACCTCTTAAATATAGACGTCAAAAATAAATACAGTAAATATATCAAACTGTTAAATGTGATTAACTGATATTCAGCCATTATATGTGATTCAAAAAAGAAAAATATTTGACAGCCACAGTATATAAAAATATTTGTCTCTGACCTCCAGCCATTCAGATAGATTTGAGTTCATTTGTCCAGGTTTTGAGATAATTGTATGGAATTTCATTTGTGGTGCTCACAACATTAAAAAATGAACATTTAAAATGTTGATGGGCTTCTGTCAGACCGCTTAGACTACTGAAACACATTCGAGATCATCTATTCAAAACATGATGACAGTATCAGTTTGTTCCCTCAGAAATCATTCAAATCAACACACAGAAAGATATTTTATTCCCAGTGTTTTTTCTTACTCAGCATTAGACATGGATGCATGTAGTGTCACAGACCACTTATGAAATACACGGTCAGTTCCAACACTGGCTCTGATCTCATGTCGATGGTCAGTGGCTGCTGAATCTTCACCACGTTGTAAATCTCAGAATGATTTGCTCCTTCGCACTGGGAATGTAGCATCCAATGCCTGCACAAAAAAGCACCATATATTCTATTTTGATCTGATCCACTGTTAAATTACAACGACAAAAATGTTTGCATAGTGGACTCACCAACATCAGGTCTTATGATTTTGCCATCTGGAGTCCTGACCAGCAGCTCCCAGTACGTATGGTCTTTATCGTTTCCAGCCACTCCGTTCACACTCTCCAGGTACGGGCCGTAGTTTGGATCCTCGGTGTACGTGAACCTGCAGGACCAAACAGAAGAACAACGGAGATCCACTTGGTGAGTTACTTTGAATGTGGGAGACAGCTGCTGTGACTATGAGCAACCGCATTACATTTGGATTGTCAGAAGGGCAACTTATTACTCATTCATGCAAACATTGTCTGGCCCCACTGACTTTGCTCAACTTAGAAATTTCAGATCCAGTTTTTTCTAGTTACTAGTGGTGTTCCTCAGGGCTCTATCTTAGGTCCCCTTTTATTTACAGTCTACCTTCCACCTCTTGGCCATATCTCCAGAAAGTTTGGCATTCAATTCCACTGCTACGCAGATGACACCCAGCTCTATGCTCTATCTTTATGATCTATGGATACATTGCTGCATGTTTTATAACTGTGTTTTCTAAGGTGTCCTTGAGTGCTTTGAAAGGTGCCTATAAATTATTTTTTATCATTATTATTATTAACTATTAGGCCCAAATGATCCTGTCACTTCTTGTTTGGCTAAGTGGAACACATACGGACGACTGATTTTGTAATGTTGAGCAACAGTGCGCTTTAATTTTGAAATAAAGATGATAAATATTAATATTCAGATCACTGTCAGTGTGCTGATGATTCCATTGCATGTGGTAGGCGTGTGTCAGAAGTGCCTTATTTGCCCATAATTATAAGTGATTGTGCTCTGTATTTAACTTGTAAATCCTCCACTCAGTGTGTGATTCAGAATTTTCCACTGAGCCAGAGTCTTAATATCTCTGGTTGAAATTTAAAAGTCGGCAGCCTGCAGACTCGTCAGTGATGACGATGGTTGGGTGTGTGGATATCAGCTTCAGTGTTCCCTCTGTGGATCAGTGTTGTAGCTGAGAGCTTTAAAGATGTGACAGAACAGGAACTTATTCGTCATACTGGCTCAGCATTTTGTGTCCATTTAGCTGTTTTACTCATGTCACTTATAAATACATTTGCATATGGATTTCAAAGACACTGCTGGGCAGGGGTGTCATAGTGGGGGAAAGTGAGACTAGTTACCCAGGGCTGCCCTTCAATGTAGCGGAAGCATGTCAAATATTTTTTTTAAGTACTGGAGAGGGACTTTTGTTTTTTTTTATTTTGGCTAAAGGGAGGGGCATACACATTTAAATGGCTTTGTTTTGTGTTTATTTTTTATTTATTTATTTTTTACTGCAGATTATTAAAGAAAACATGTCTTTCAAACCTGCGGGTTGCTGCCAACATTACACCCTTAATTATCGCCAGAAACTGTAAAGACAGAAATTATCATTGAATTTTCAAATTTCTGATGGCCCATGGACACATTGTGCATGACAGGCGCTTCCAAAACCAACCAAATCTGAGTTCATAATGGTGATAGTTCGTCAAACTCACTTTATTATATGTCTCATTTAAAATATGGCTAATCATAAATTATTTGCAAGAGAAAGAGTGAAGAATTAGAGTGGAAAATTATTTTAAAAAAGAGTGAAAAAGGGAAAAAATAGTCAAAAATTCAGCTTTTTTTACTGCCAATTTTTAAAGGAAACATAGCTTCCAAACCCCGGGTTTGCTGTAGGGTGACAATGCTAACCACTGCAGGACCATGCCACCCGATGAACACTTATGTCAGAAAGAAAGGAAAGGGAAAGAAAGAAAAAGGTGTAAAAATGTGCATAAGAGAGACATGTACCAAGTAAGGGTGGGGGCCCACAGAGACTGCTAGGACCCAGAATTTGTTGCTATGCCCCTGCTGCAGGGTTTGCAGTTACACAACACCTCCTGCGAGGATGTACTCTGAGCACAGATCATTTTGAGAATAAGGAACCCCACTGTGAGACAAATATGTATCACTATTGTGAAGTGCCAGTCAGCAAGTTTATCTACTCATATCAATAAGTTGTCGCTCTCATGTGACAGCTGAAGTTAAGGTCTTACTTAAAGTTTGCATCGGAGCTCATGAGTCTCTTCAGTGCACCCAGCAGGATCCCTCTGTACACCACATGAGTGCTGAAGGTCTCAGGAGCGGTGCCTAGTAAGCTGTTCTCCACCACCACCTCAATGGGAACTGGTTCACTTACTGAATGATGGATGACAAAAAACACCAGAGAAAAATAAGATTTATTTATATCCAGTAATAAAGAAAATCACTTGAAATCTGTTTCATGAATTCTTACTTTCAGTCAGATTCCCAGGGAGCAGCAGCAGCAGCAGCAGCAGGGCAGCAGAGAGCAGAGCAGGCATCTTCATCATGGCTGAGACTTACCTGACTGGAAGGTCACTGTGCTGCCACAGCCCCTGTGTTTTATTCCAGCCATCACTGTTGACACACCTGAGCACAGTGAGCTGTGTTGATCTTAGTTTGAAAGAGCTGATAATGTTTTCCATAGAGCCAAATGTCACTTTGAGGTTATGAAACGATATTTGCACTGCTAACTTTTGTAAACTGTGCAGTGAACACTGACGCTCAAATACACTGCAGCACTCTTCCATCACCTCTTCAGATTGATGTTTTATTGAGGCTGCTTAAAACACTGGGACGCCAGCATGAGGTGGTATTAGAGGGGCCGTGACATGGATGTTAATGTTGACTGTTGTGGTGACACACAGAAAACCTGTCACGTCTAGTTAGGGGGAGATAAACAGGAATGAAACAGTCAGATTCCAAAGGATGATTTAATGCTTGGAAACAAGAGTGTCCATGTTTGAAGAGTCACATGGGGGTGTGTCTAATGCTCACAAAAACACAGAGACTTTTCTCCTTCCACCACATCATTACAGCGTCACCACAGTCACTCTCAGGTTACACTTCATCATGTTTTGGCAGCTACGAGCACATGAGCATTTGAACACAACAATCCCCACAACATGACTGTTGAGTTCAAATCAAAGTTTGGGAGCTAGAATCCAGTTGACTGATATTCTCTGCTTTTTCCTACACTCAATCTGCTTTCCTGCACCTGGCCTCAATATTAGGATTGGATGTGTGCACTCACTTTACTGTGACCTTTATTTAGTGACATCAGAAAACCACATTTCTGACAGCCTACATGATCAGAACAGTAAAAAGTGGGTAGCAGGTCTGATTGTTTATGTTTCACCTTTATTATAGAGACACTTGATTATTGATTGATATAGAGCAGGGTATAATAACAATCATATAACACTGACAACATCCCAACATACAACAATTATAAATGCATAAAAGGCACCTCAGATTCCTTCACATAGAATAAAAGAATCACAGAATCATTTCAAATCAAACATCAGTACAATAACACAAGATACAGATCAGTCAAATGATAAAAAACAACAGCTGAGGTGAAAGCAATGTTCAAAGATTGATTAGTGAAATGTTCCAAAATATTCCAAACAATATGACATAACAGAGCAGCCCCCTGCTGTGTGTCAGGGTGCAGCCCAAAGCAGTCGTCCCTATAATCACATGGATCCACAACAACACAAAGACAAACTAACTACAATATATATCATATATACATATATATCTGCACCCTGTCAGGATCAAAGCTTGACTTGTAAACTTGTCAACTTTTTCTCCCAACATTCTTTCTATTATTATTCTGATTGTTTTGTATTCATTTGTCTTTTTTCCCATCTTCTATTTCACCTCTTGTACTTTTGACATTGTCACAGACAGACAGTGAGGAAATGAACATATGCATATTAACTGTGTGTCTGAGCTGAAAGCTGCTCTCCTCTCCTGCTCCTCTGATTCACAGCCACTACAACAACACAGAGCATCACCAGCAGACCACTGAGCACTGAGCATCTCACTGTGTAGAAGGTGGAGTGAATCCCAAAGGGATCTCTGTACATTAACACAGTTTTCACTGATGACACACACTGATCATTTTGGTAAACTGCACACCAATACTCTCCTGTGTCTTTCAGTGAGACATTAGAGATAACCAAACTCCCATCAGAGCCAAAGCTCACTCTGCTCATGGTCTGACTCATGTCTATAGAAACGATTCTGCCTTCTGTTTGGTTCGACTTGATGAACCAATTAGGCCACCAACCCTTCTTCAAATCTTTGCATTGTAGAGTGACTTCTTCTCCCTCTGAGAAGAGCTCGACAGCAGGAGGACCAAATTTAGGACACACCAACAGACCATACCTTTTCGCACTGAGAGAGGTTTTACAGTTATACCGACCTGTGTGATTTAATGTCAGTGATGAAAACACCAGAGAGTAGTTTTGGTCCACTGAAGGCACAGTCTGGTTTGTTCTGTTGTTTAGTTCATTGTCGTACATCATCCAACGTGGGGGCTGGTCATCACTGAGGTCAGTGACAGTGCACGGCAACACAGCCATCTCTCCCACTGAGCTGTAGATTGTTTCATATAACAGGTGCAACTCTACACGTTCACTGCTAACACACTGCTGTTGGTTCATCAGCAGACAGGTGAACTCTCTTTTCAGTGTTGTTGTGAAGTTGAATACACGTAGATCTGATGAGTTTTTCTCCACTTGGTATCTTCCTCCATCATCGTCCATCACTGATGTCGTATTGTCCCCAAAAACTTTCTTCCATATTTCTTGTTCATATCTAAAGTCACGTTTGAGCCACAGGAAATCCAGATTGTCAGCTGCTCCAGAACATGGCAGGTCCACTGATTCTCCAGGTGTCACAAACCGAAAAGGTCTTCGATCCACTGAGCTACAGACTATAACACTGCTGTTTCTCTCATATGTGACTTTGCCGTCGGTCCAACACTCCTCTTGGTACAGGCCGGAGTCTGAATGGGTCAGGTTGTGGATGATGTAAGAAGAAATACTCTTCCTGCTGACAACTGAGAGTCGTTGTTTCAAGTCTTCAGGTACTGTGGAGTTGTGGGACCAGAGGTCAGAGGTGTTCCACAGGACAAGCTTCTCCTCACCAACAAATCTGGAGATCAGGCAGGAGCTGGCCTCCTTGGGGAGGTGGAAGGTGTAAGAGTGCCCTTCCTCCTTGATGGTGATGAGTTCTTCTGCATGAATGTTGTTGATGAGAGCAAACAGCAGGAAGCAGAGCTCTGTGACTGCAGCCATTCTGCTCTGAGGTCTCCTTGTGAGTGTCGTACAAACACTGACACCACCCACCTTATCAGTTCTGTGTCAACACTCATCAGCAGCTTCTCTTCGTGGCTGTAACAACGTGACTTCTTTATCTCATCATCATCATCATCATCATCATCATCATCATCATCATCAGTGGAAACTTTGAGGCGTTCTGCTCTCTATCAAGTAATCTGTGTCCTTTGGACGTATCTAAAACCACTGAGGCTGTCGTGTCTTCAAACACAGATTATTGAGAGATGTGGTGAAACCACCAGAGACAAGTGTGTGAGAGAGACATGGACATAATGTGTGTATGTTTCTACATCTGTGATGGAGAGAGAGATGATCTTAAAGAAATATAATAAATATATCAAAGTGTTCTGGTACCAGGTACACTTATGAACCTCTCTGTGCTCCAACATGGTGTTCATTATGGCCGATCCATGACTAGCACACAAGTCCAATAACAAACAGCAGACAGAGAGTGACGACAGTGTGAAGGTCGTCTCATCCCTCTCTGCATGTCCTCTCTTTCACTCTTCACCTGCTTTGTATTTAACTCTCACTGTCTGAGGCACATTTAGCCCATGAAGAGCCCACAACAGCTTTTTGTTCCTATTTCAGCTGTTGAGTGAGTTTTCTTGGGATTTTGTGGACGTTGCTGCAGCCTGATGCTGCTCATGTGGTGCAGGGCCCACAGTGTATTTTCTGTGGTGTGTTCCAGTCGCCCCCTGTGGACCAATGCATGTGTGTCTCAGCCCATGTTGGACCAGTGTGGTGGACACGACTGCTGAAGTGTAGACCGTGATTCAAGCCCCTCCTCAGGTACGCCACACAGGAGTGTATGTGATGAATGTATGTGAGGTTTCATTTGTCGAGACACCAACAATTCCAACTTGAGAATTTCTTCATATGAATTTCCACTGTGGACCAACCAGGAGGAAACAGAGAACACAAAAGTCCATGTGAGCCCGGGGGCTCAAGCTAGCTTGATGGGTATTTTCAAAACTATTTTTCAATGCTTTTGTTCTGACTTGAAATGTTTGTAGTGTGCAGACTGATCAGCTGACTCTGCAGCTGATAGAGGAGCTGATCATGTGACCTTCACCTGTATGACATATTATACAGTAAACCTGCCTTATGAAGACTTTAATGCATCATCTGCAGGCTGTCAGTTAAAAGGGATACATTTTAATGGATAAAATAAAATGAAAAACAAATCACCTTTATTACAAATACATTTGAGTATTTTCAAAGTGTAAAACTTATGAAAATGTGCAGAATTTACATCACAGGTAATTACACTTTAATTTGTACCTTAAAGGGCCAGATTTGTTTCATTCATTCATTCATCTTCTTACCGCTTCATCCTCTTGAGGGTCGCGGGGGGGCTGGAGCCTATCCCAGCTGACACTGGGTGAGAGGCAGGGTTCACCCTGGACAGGTCACCAGACTATCACAGGGCTGACACATAGAGACAGACAACCATTCACACTCACATTCACACCTACGGACAATTTAGAGTCACCAATTAACCTGCATGTCTTTGGACTGTGGGAGGAAGCTGGAGCACCTGGAGGAAACCCACGCTGACACGGGGAGAACATGCAAACTC